GAATAGACACTTACGTTGCTTTCATATGTTGGCTAACACTGCAGTGAACATAGCGGTGCACATATCTCTTTGAATTAGTGTTTTCATTTTCTTCAGATAAATACCCAGAAGAGGAATTGCTGGATTGTATTAGAAGGAAATTTAAAAGGATATTTCTATGACCTGTCCAATGACAACCTTCTTAACTAAGAGAAAAAAAAACCAGAAACTGTAAAAGAGAAAACTAACAGATTTGACTACATAAAAAATTTTAAAATTTTCCATATGGCAAGACATCGAAAATTAAGCCAAACGAAAAATGCAAAACTGCAAGAAAATAATTGCAACATATAAAAGAAGTAACCACGGAAATTCAGATCAAATGAAAACAATAACATCTTTTTTCTTCCATCAGATGAATAAAAATGTTAAGACTGCTAACATCCTGTGCTGTTAAAAAGGTAGCAAAAGGGCACCATCATGTATTGCTTCTGTGGGCAGGAATGCCTACTATCTTGTGTGGAAATTAATCCAACAATACTAATGAAATTCCAAATTTGAATACCCTTTGACTAGCAATTCTGCTTTGGGGAATTTATGCTCAGAAAACAAGCACTGGCATCTAAGGCGAGATAGGCAGAATTGTTTGTAGGGACACAGAACTGATGCAACCGGAATATTCCCATCAGGAGAATAACTGAATACGTTATAACAATTCATACTGTGGATTCTTACACAGTCATTAAAAATAATAGGAATAATAATAATAGGTTATGCTGTGAATATTTATTATACACTAAATAAAAAAGAATTCAGAGACTAAGGTGTGTGGTATAATCTTTTTTGTAAATTTTTTTAAAAGAAAAGAAATATATTTCGCACATACATATAAATTTTAATATTTTTGTGATCGTAAAGGAAAGCATGAGAGGACCACATTAACCAACAGTGGTAATGTCGGTTACTTATGGGTACAGAATTGGGATAGAAGAAGGCGCTGTTGTCATTTTTGTTTTGTACACTTCTTTGTTTTCAGTTATTGCAACAAGCACATATTGCTTTTAGATGAAAAAATCCTATGGTGTTGCTTTCAAAGAAACAAAAATACACATACATACACACACACACACACACACACACATACACACACACACACAGGCAGCTCCCAATGACTCTGTCTTTACCAACACATGTAACTGGCAATGTGGATAATTCACAATGTACTTATTTGTCTCTGAAGTCCTGGGCATTCATAAAATTTCAAAGAAATATAATGAAGATGCTCTATCAAAGGGTAACTATTCAAGACCTCCACCCAGCTCTGTCAGTCTTATAAAGTGTTCAGACAGATCGTCATCTCTCAAAGCAGGCCAAGCATTCACCCACGAGGGAGCGGATCCACCTCCTAACTCCTAGCTGGATGACAGGGACCCAAGACAGGAAGACCATTTGAAGGCAGTCCTCAAATTACTGAATTCATAGCTGCTCCCTCCAGCCAGATCTGCTACCCCCTCTCCTGTCTCCAACTTTGCCAAGATGCTTCCCTACCCCCGCCCAACTCGAGGTCCTTAAACATCCTCAACTTCCCTAATGTAATGCCTCCCCAAAGTTCTCTTGGATCTTCACCTTTCCACGCATGTTTGTCTTTTACTCTTTACACTGTGTTTATATCACCCTCTTCTGCCTCTGCCTTGGGGGCAATTAATGTAATGGTTAGGAGTGTGGCCTCTAAAGTCAGAGCGACTAAGGTCAAACCTGACATTGGCCACTTCCTAGCTGAGCGACCTTGGGCAAGTGTGATGCTTAATTTTATGTGTCCACTTGACTGGGCTTAAAGGATGCCTAGATAGCTGGTAAAAACGTTGGTTCTGGGTGTGTCTGGGAGGGTGTCTCTAGAAGAGATTAGCACTTGAATCAGTAGACTGAGTAAAGAAGATGGCCCTCCCCAGTGTGGGTGGACATCATCCAAACCTTTGAAGGCCTGAATAGAACAAAAAGGTGGAGGAAGGGCGAATTCCCTCTCTGACTGAGCTGAGACATCCATCTTCTCCTGGTTCTCAGGCTTTCAGACTCAAACCAGGATTTATACCATTGGCCCCCCAGTTCTTGAGCCTTTGGACTCGGACTGAATTACACCACCAGCTTTCCTGGGTCTCCAGCTTGCAGACGGCATACCAAGGGACTTCTCTGCCTCCATATCATGTGAGCCAATTCCTCTAATAAATCTCTTATATATATCTATATATATACCCTATTGGTTCTGTTTCTCTGGAGATCCCTGACTAATATAGCAAGTTACTTAATCCCTCTTCAGCTCAGTGTACTCAACGGAAGCTGCCAAGACTTCTCACAGCTTAGGCACAGCACTGAAACAGCCTCAGCTCCGCGGCATTCTAACTACCAAAGAAGTCAGAGGCCCAGTCCAAATTCAAGTGGAGGGAATCACACACAAGTGTGAGCACCAGGGGCCAATGATGGAACGTGCTATCTCACCATGTAAAAACACTCAGCTTAATGTCTGGCACACAGTACATGCTCAACAAATATGAGCTACTTTTCTTAGGTATTATTTTTTTTCTTAAATAGAAGAGCATTCTTTTTACATTGGTTCTTCATCATGTACACACCACAGAGAAAGCCCAGAAACCTAGAGATTGCAAAGAGCCCACATAATTCATTTCAGAAGATGCAGAGGAACCCGAGTGTGGCCCTAAACCCTACACAGCAGATTCCGGTATAAAGCCAGCTACCCTAGTCACCATTCTTAAATAAAAAATATCCTTGCAAGGGCGGTTTCCAAGTCTCAGAGGGCAGGCAGGCATATATATGGCAAGGGGTCAGCGTTACCCCTCACATCCACACTCACATGCAAACCTGTCCCAGCATAACTGGAACCAACCACCATTTCTGCAAAGGGCAGAGACAATATGTGAAAAACAGTATATACTGTTTTGAAAGAATTTTAAAGGTGCTTGTAGCAGATAAAGCTTGAAGAAAGAAAACAAGCCCATGAGAAAGTGGATACAAGCGTGGGAGGGCAGGAGAGGGACCAAGAGCAGAAGTTACCTTAAAATCTCTAAAATGCAAGCAGAATTTGTTTTGTTCATTGTTGTTCCCCTGAGCCTAGAGGAAGGTCTGCACAAAGCAGACATCTGTAGAATTATTGACTCCTGGGAAGTTAGAACTAAGAGGTTATAGTTGTTGAAAGGAATAACACTGGAAATGCAAACTGAAGTATTATTGTACATATTTATTTAACTGAGACTAAAATGGAATGAATGTACATTTTTCACATAAATAGCTTTTCCACCTTGTCCAATTGACGTTTTCTCTTTTAGGTTTACTATTAAAAGGCAGCTCTTTTTCCATGTACTTTGGGAGTACCAAAACCATTAGCTAAGGCTGAATAGAGAGAGGGGAGGCTAAGGGAGGAGCCAGAAGTGAACCTAACTTAGCAGTCTGCCACCTGTTGGCTGGTGTGAGCAAACATAAACCTCAGTGACCATACCACAGGCGACATGAAAACAACGCAGGTTAAATAATGCTAAAAACTGAGCAACAGAGGTATGAACACTATATATAGTGGTCATTTGAATCCTGGCTCCCAGGTTCCTGCCTCCAACCTCCTCTCTCGAAACACTGTAGCCACACGTTCTGTTGTTCCTAATCAGCTCTCCAACACTCACCCTTGGTCTGAAATAAGCTTTGAAATTAATACCCCCATTAGGATGAACCGCCACACCTGCATCGATCAGAGCGTCAGAGAGTCCGTTTTACTGAGATCTCATTTTAAAAGCCAGGCAATGGACTGAGAGAACAAAGACCGTTACAAAAGAATAACAACAACAACAAAGCAAAGCTGGACAGAATTTTTAAATTTCAAAACTCAAGAACAAACAGCAAACATTCATTACAAAGGCTTGGTTTGGATTTCTGAAGATGGAATTAAAACATACTGAGCTTACAGTTTAAGCCTATACGACGTACTTCAGCACCATAAACCGAACGTAGTTACAGATGTCAAGAGTTCTCAGAACAAGTGCCTCTCTTTATAAATATCTGCTTTGCATGTATTTTTCCCGTTTCCATATGTCCATTCTTCATTAATATAGGGGAAAAAAACAACTTTCATCAAAAGGCTATAAAATGCCAAAAAAATTAACTCTTGGAGACAATCACTTCCTTAAATAGAGATTTCCTGGTGGCTTTCTCCTATGGAAGTTTGTTAGTCACTGGCTTCTCTAATCTGGGGGTCAACAGCCTGAAAATCGGTCACCCTCGAGGTCTGAAGCTCAGAAAGCACGCCCCCTGGACGCTGGCTGCGGGTCTCCTGCCCAGTCCCACCGCCCACCGAGCACGCTGTCCGGGCGGACGCGGGAAACGCGAAGTCCTGGACGCCAAGTCGGTGAGTGGCCGCAGGGGGGCCGGCCGGTCTCCGCCGCCACAACTGACCCGCAACCCGACGGGACGCGCCCTGCGCCCCGGGTCCCCAGCTAAAGCCGCAGCAAAGGCGAGATGCGCGCGGAGCCGCAGCCCCGCACCCGGTTCGGATCCCACCTCCCCGCCTCGGTCACCGCCGCCTGGCTGGCTAGGTCCGCACCCAGCCGGCCGAGGCGGATGCCCGGTCCCCAGAGCGCAGAGTCTCCGAGGGCCCAGCCGCCGGCCCAGGCGTGGACCCCGCGGTCAGACGCGCCCGCTGCCCACCCTCACCCGGCGGTCCCTCCGGTCGCTGCGGGCTGGGCGGAGGGCGGGCGCCTGGCTTCTGTTTCCTCTAAGAAAAGTAACTCCGGGGATCAGCGCGATAGGAAAGGGAAAGCGATGCTTCAAGAGCGGTGAGTCGGGTCCCCGGAGTTATTCTGCCCGGAGTTTTGAACTGCACCCCGCGCTACAGCAGCTCGGCCTCGGGCGTTCGCGCCCGGAACTTGGCGCCCGCGGTGCCGTCCTGGGGGGCAGCGGCCCTCGGGCCCGTCGGCCCGCGCCCTCGCCCGGAGCACCGTCCGCGCCCGGCCGCAGACACTCACCGAGAAGCCGGCCCAGAAGGGGCAGGAGTGGCGGACGCGGGCCGAGGTGGTGAGCGCCAGCGCGGCGAAGCTCACGGCCACGATGAGGCATCCGAGCGCCATCTGCGTGGCCCCGAGCGCCAGCACGATGCGGGAGCGGCCCGGGCACTCGCGCAGGCGGGACAGGCTG